CTCAAACACTTGAGTTTTCCCCATAGCATCGTCCTTGTACGCCGTTTTTAACATTTCAAGAGTTTCTGTTCCACTTTTCCCGAGCAAAAAGCAGAATTTCACCGCCGCACGCTGTTCACGAAAATCAGCCATTGCAAAAACGACGATCACACAAAACAGTTGTCGCTATAAACTCTGCCGAAACTAGTCCTTACCTTCTGAAGCAACGGTAGTTGGCTTATCGACTCAGGAATGTTAGCTCTATGCGCTCATAGTGGCAAAACGCGATACTACAAAAGCTCTGCCCACAAAAAAATTAGTTCTGTTTCTTTTGGGTACCCCATCGTATATAGTGACACCATCAGTAGCTCAGAGTATAAGGCATTGATGGTAGATTGATAGTTAATAATTATTGGAAAGGGTGTGGAAGGAAATGATCATGGCCTAGTTTGAGGTATTATCCTAACGTTTTTGGAGGACTGAGGAAAACTAAAAACAACCCTGATCAGGATAATCAGTGTCCCATTGAGATTCAAACTGAGCACCTGCAGAATACAGGTCAGAAATGTTATGGCTTGAGCTGACTTTATTAGTAGGACACAGGATTGTTGGTGAATAATTATTGCCAAGGATGTGGAAGGAAGCAGACATTGTCTGATATGAAGTACTGTCCTAGCATTTGCCTGGAGGGATTGAATCAAATTGCAAATAACCTGTGTCAGGAAAGTCATTGTCCTGTCAAACCCAAATTGATCACCTTCTGAATACAAGTTGGAGACATTACAGCTTGAGCCATCTTTCTTTTTAGGGTGAATACTTGTCATATAATTGCCTCTTCATATCAAAACCATTTCTGTCAAGTCACCCCTTGTCCAGAAGTGAACCAGATACTTCTGTCATCCATGACTTGTTTTCTTTCGCTGCTTCTATATATATTTTTTTTTAATTTCATGGGGTGGATTGAGACTGAATCCCCTTGCCCTATTGGCCAGTAATTGGCCTAGAGTGTCAGCTGTGGATTTGATGGAGTGAGAATTGACAGGCGAAGCTGAAGTATTCTGAGAAAACGTGCCCCAGTGTCACTGTATCCACCACAAGTCCCACATGACCTGAATTCGTATCAAGCCTAGGCTGCTACTGTGAGAAGTCAGTGACTAACCCCTAAGCTATGGCATGGCCCCTTATCTCCAAAACATTGGTGCCTGCTTACCACATTGCATGTTGTCTTGACCCTGAGGACCACAATACAATATGTGGTTGAAAAGGTTGTAGAGTCTTCCAGTACTCCTTCAGAGTTGCTAGTAAATTGAGTCCCATCTCTATGATCAGGGTCCATACAAATTTGTGTCAGGTGCTATCATGTCAGATAGTGGGTCTCATCCATATATGGTTGGAAAACTGCTTTGAAAACAGTAAGAACTTGTGGACTTGTTGATCCAAGCTGTGAAGCTAGATGTCATGCCAGAGAAGAGTTGGACAACTGATGCATTTTTTACTTGGTCCTTCATGGTCTGAAGTCTGCATTTCATAATGTAGCAACCACACTTAAGTGATGAAAGACTGAATGAGCTGTAGGCTTAATTGAAATTGTATCTTTTTTGTACTTTATGACCATAAGCATGTCAGATATAGAGAGTCATATGTAATTTATCCTTGACTTCCTTCCCATCAATCGTCAGCAGTGAACTCATAGTCCTCATGTAAGTCAATCTTTGTATCAGACTACTAACAGGCATTTCCAAAATTCTTTATGTTGTGTCAGCAGTGATGCTGATGATCACCCACATGGAAAATAGAACTAGCAGGCCTGAAAGTTTGTTGCTTCACAAATCCATATAAGATTACATTGGCAGAATGATCTTAACTCTGCTCCACTGGATGTATTGGGTGAGTAAAAAGTAAAGTAAAGATATCCCTGTAACAGGCCGTGAAGGCCCATAGGGTTGTGAGACGTTAAGGGTTCCACGTTACCTTGACAGTCGGCTCAAAGATGGCGGTAAGGTTGTCAGCCTTACGCGCTGGCTGCGCTTCACTCCCCATGAAAATTATTGAATTAATTCTCTGTTAGAGGCCGAGTAAACCCCAGGTCCTGGTGCGGCCGGAAGGATTAGGTCAATTGAAAAATCCAATGACCTCATCGGGACTTGAACCTGCGACCTTCTGGCTTGTAGCATAGTACCTAAACCACTACACTACCGCGTGCCCCGGATATATTGGGTGACAGAAACATATTTTTAAAAGCCCCATAGTGGGTAAATTGGGGTGATAATGGTTTAAATGGATCTTAGAGAGCTAAACTGTTGGAAGATGAAGAGGATTCAACTAATAGGATATGATAACGGTGAAGAATGCTGAGGTTTAAAAAGTGAATTTCTTGAAGAGTCAAATCCTTCTTGACTGTTTGAGGAATTCTTGACATGTATTAGTTTTCCACGTCTTTGTAATATTATGTGCGTACTATGTAGTATCTCTAATTTCAGATTGCTATGGGTCTTCCCTTGAGTCGCATAAAGAATATTCGTCAGTTATATGGAGAGAGTCAGTGGGGTGATTCATCTATAGACTTTGATAACCCTCGTCACAAACCACAGCCATGGGGACATGTGATAGCAGCACGAATCACGAGTGAGAATCCTGATGAAGGTATGTGATTTTTGGCTTTAAAATTGTTGTAACAGGACCTAATTCTTCACTGAATAGTCAGCCAGTTGACTTGCTGTGGCATGTTTTGCCAGGACTGCCGTGTTCCTTTCCAAGTTATGCTTGGAGACTGGTTATCTGTTACATGCAGTTCATATTTCTACGTGGCGATTAAAAGTATTTATATTTTCTATCTTGATACAAAAGTGTTTTTCTCTATTAAGTTTTATTCAATTTTGTGAAACAGCCTTGCAGTTTTTTTTTTCCATTTCCTATAACATACTTCGCAGTAAAAGGTTACAAATGGAACATCTCCCTTAGGTTACTTAATTATTTTACCTCTAAAGATTTTTCATTTTCCATCATTAAAATATACGATGTATTGATTTTTCCAGGCTTCAAACCTAGTTCTGGAACAGTACAGGAATTAAACTTCAGATCATCAAAGAATGTATGGGGATACTTCAGTGTTGCGGCATCAGGAGGATTGCACGAATTTGCTGACTCTCAGTTTGGACACTGTTTCTCATGGGGTGAGAACAGGGAGCAAGCCAGAGAGTAAGACATTTCAACTGTCCCTGAAATGTTATGGCATATACACCAAACCTTGCTGTGTAGTGGATAATACTCCAATTTCACATTGTGGAGGTCTCTCATTTGAATCGTGGCCCTGGAGAGAGCAGTAATAACTTAATTTGCTCATGCTCATTCTCCAGTATCTAGTGATACAACCTAGAATATGCTGTGCTTTACCTCCACATTCCCTGTAAACTGTTATGGTGTGTTTCGTAGGTGTAGTAGCAACTTTACTTTTACCATTGCCTATATTTCCTGGTTTGACAAGTTATGACAAGAACTGTGACACACTGATGTTTCTACAACAGGAACCTCGTGATTGCACTGAAGGAATTGTCTATCAGAGGAGATTTTCGTACAACGGTGGAGTATTTGATTAAACTCCTAGAGACCCCAAGTTTCCAGGATAATTCCATTGACACAGCCTGGCTGGATGTATTGATCGCAGAGAGGGTGCAGGCTGAGAAACCCGACATCATGCTGGGCGTGATTTGTGGGGCATTACATGTAGCAGACAGGACTGTGCTTAATTCATTCCAGCATTTTCAGACATCATTGGAGAGGTCAGTGACTTGTGATTACACTTGGTAACCTCTTGGCATAGAATGACATATCATCTTTTGAGTATCTGCATGAAGGCAACATTTTTATAGATCCTAAGTTAAAGTCCCAAAATTGTTTGTAAGACATTGTTTCTCAACTTATATCTGCTGGTATAAGTACAGATTCATATTTCTACCCATTAATTTACAAAGCATGATAGCACCTCAGAACGGTCAAGATAAGTGCTAGCATCATGTTCTTCGCCTAAACTGCCCTATGCCAAGAAGTTAATTTTATGTGTCATTTGCAGTAAGTTCATAAAAAGTGGGGGGATATGCCTTTCCATCTATATTTTTCATCTCCCAAGCTACTAGATTGGTTTTAATAAAATTTAAATGTTCAGGATTTATACCTTATGTTGTCAGATGAAGTTAATTAGTTGATTTATTTTCTTGCAGTAATTATAAAAGCGCTAAAGTGATACCAGGTATTGTCTTGATTTATGAGGGTATCATGTACCATGAGTTTGCTCCACAAGGTCACACTGTGGACCATCATTTCTATATATAAGTATTCATATGTCTCCATGATATAGGATATTTGTAAACAGCTACATACTGAATAAGTTGGCTTAAATAGTAACACTTCTGACTTGTGTTTGTACAGTACTAAGTTTGATTCTTGGCTAGATCCTGGTATCAGGATGTTTGACTGACAGTTTCTAATCCACAAGATGTTTCACCTAAAATGTTTGATCTGCAGTTCTTAACCAAAGAGATTTTTTTGCTTGAAGCTCTGCTTTCCTGCACTTGATTATAGCATTATTTAGCTTTCCATTTAACATCTCATAAATGAGAAAGTACCATGACAGAAGAAAATCATTCCTGAGAATTTTACAGGTTTATATTTTCAGCCCCCTGCCATGTACGAAAAAGTGGTTTTGGATTTCTGCCTCTATGTATTTGTGTGTGTGTGTGTGTATGTGCATGTGCATGTTCGTGTGTGCCTCACTAATGCCTGAACCTTTGTGCAGATTTTATTCACATTCAGTATTTAAGAGTTTATTTGTCATAGTTCATCACCTGGTAAATATTAACATTCTAGCTCCAAAACCAAGGGCCCTTAAGAATCACCTCCAAAACACAAAATGGCTATTTTCGTGAAAACAGTTCTTGCTATTTTGATTAAATATCAGTGATCTCTATAGGCAGTCTCCATGGCATCTTCAGTAAACTATGATACATGCCCTCGGGGCCCAACCATGAAATGTCAATCTTCCAAAAATAGCGTGGCTCATACTGATAACGTTTAATTCTGTAAAGGCAGCAGACCCAAATAATGAGGCCGTGATTCTTCTACTTTATTCAGAAGCCATAGATCATTTTTCTGAGATGTTTATTTCAGGGTAGTAGAAAGCTGTGATCCCTTCAGGTATACATGAAAGAATGGAACAATAATTGTTACACAACTTGTACATGTCCTAGCAAGTATAGCAAGCAACTAATGATGGTCTACTTAACAGCATTCAGTTTTGTTTCCAAGGTATCATAATTCAACATTAATCCTGTATATGAAGTATATTGTCACATGTTTAGTGACTAGACATGGGTTTCACTTGGTAATTGGCTTTCTAGGAGGAGGGACACATCAAACATGAAATGCATATCTTAAGTTTTCCCTGAAACTTCTTCTTTTAGGGGGCAAATCCAAGGTTCTAACACACTGTCCAACACAGTGGACGTTGAGCTTATCCATGAAGGTTATAAATACAAGGTGCAGGCCACCAAGTCTGGTCCCAACTCATATTTTCTTGTGATGAATGGTTCCTGGAAGGAGATAGAAGTGCATCGCATGTCAGATGGAGGTATGATCTCTGTCACACTAATGACACAAACTACACTTTACATGTAATAGAATATCTTGTGTTGTACACTTTGAAAGCAATAAGCGGACGATTTCTTTGTTTATAAGAGCATGACCCCGATGTTGGGCTAATGACACCATTATTCAGTATTCATTATTTGTAGAATACCTTCAATATGGACTTATTTCAGTAGTCAATAATGCAAGTATTATACATTTTACTTCTTACCTGGTATTGTCAGGTTGTTTAAAACAAGAAGAATGTGATGTGCAGTATATATAGCATGCATGAAGAAACTAAAAATAAATATGCAAAACTTAATTTCAAAAACCTCAGTTGAAAGAAACCTATGCATAGATTGAAAGATAATATTAATGAGGATTGTAGCATAATAGGTGGTGAAGGAATGAAATGGCTCAGAATATGATACAGTGTTGGACTTCTATGGAATTTCAGTAGAATATTGCCAGGTTTGGATATTGGTATAACATTTCATCCATATACCCGTGTGTATGTATGTTATGCACATAAAGTTCAGTTTGTATGTGAGATATTACTTTATTGTATTCTTACCCTTCCTTCCTTCCTTCCTGTTTATGGTCATAATATACTGTGTTTTATCTGCCAGAATAACTGTTCCATCCTTATCAGTGATATAGTAGGACAATGATAATAATCGGTAATATGTATGAATATAATGAACACTGCTTTGCTAGGTATCCTGCTCTCTGTGGATGGTTCTAGTTTCACAACATACATGCGTGAAGAAGTAGACAGGTACCGTATTGTGATAGGCAATCAGACATGTGTGTTTGAGAAAGAGAATGACCCTTCACTACTTCGCTCACCTTCTGCTGGTAAACTGCTGAATTATCTGACAGAAGATGGTGGTCATGTGAATGCAGGGCAGGCCTATGCAGAAATAGAGGTGAGTTGTAATTGCTGTGTCTTATTGTAATACTGCTTCAAATATTGTTATTTGAATAGAAACATTGGGCACAATGATTTGAATTTTCTTTGGATTCTTTGATAGATTGTATTATTGATTTAGTACTGACTCACCTGCACTTGTACATGACTATGAATACAACAGCACATCAGATTTATGCTTAAAATTATGCAAAAATCTACTGTAACTCTATTTGTAATAGTGGCAGTTACTTCAACTCAAGGAGAGCATCTCATTCCTTCCTTAGTTTTGAACCAGTTTTGTTTCCTCCATAAACAGGAACAGCATGGAAATTCTGGTGTATCTGTTCTGTATTTATGCAAGGACTTTCAATATAGAAATTTATCAAAATTAGACCATTAGTTTCAGTTACGAGGTGCCACAGCATTAAAGTCCGTTTTGTTTAAGTATCTTGAAAACTCTAAGATTTGTGGGAATATCTTATTATATATAAAATGCGAGTTTGATTATTCTCTATAGCTTCTTTTCACATCATTTTTCCTTTCTGTAAATAATTATAGAGTTATGTATGATTTCCACTCAAGGTGAGACCATAAATGCAATACACTTGCAGTTATCCATCGTGTAAGGAGAAGGAATGTGTCTATAACATGATTGTGTTGGCCGCATGAGAGAAACCTAATGCAGTACAGTTTAGTATTGTCAACACTCACTGGGATCAGAAAATTCAGATAGGATTTTATCAGCATCATCAACAGCGCTGGCACTTGCATTTTGAGCAGCGGCTATTGTTGAGGGCTCAGGAGACTGGGATTTAGGCCTCATAGCTGTCTTTAATGAATTCCTTATATGTGCCTACATATATGCTTTCTGTCTGTCTGCATAAATTTGGAATGCAGAGAGAGAAGGTGCAGTACTGTTTTTGCAGTAAAGCAGTTTTACGGCTCAAGAAGTTTCAAGATTTTCAGACAGCCTGCCATGAGACTCTTAAAGCCTGCTCCCCCTTATCACCACTTTCCTCTTCTTGAACTATAGGTTTGTCATGATTCAATGCTGTTTATAATCTTTTCTGAATTTAGTGTTATCGTAAGAGAAGCGTCCTTGTCAACATCCAGCCATTCATCAGGTTTATTATCTCTGGAAGTGTTTTTCACTGGATTTAGAGCTCTGTCTCAGTCATTCAGCTCCATGATTTATTTGCACAGTTGACACTTACCTGCTCATTTGCACACAGTTCTCTAAAAAAACGTCTTCCTCACTTGACAGTCTATCTTGAAACATGAGAAGAGGTCATAATTTTCATCAGCCTATGAACAGAATTTCACTTTTCTCCTGGTTCCATGCACTTCACACATTAAAAGTGGCATTATTGACAGAGTACTCATGAATTTTTCCTCTGTGGCTTGTAAGCTTAGTTATGAAACCACTTTGATGATTCATGTTCAAATTTTGGATCATATCCTGATCCATTGGTTGAATCAGATTTGTCACATTAGCAGGGAGAAAACACACAAAGATGTTATCATTAGTAAGCTCTTTTGTGGGGGTGGATTAAGTGAGTTAACCTCCTCTAATATATGACTACTAATTATGAGTCTTAATCCTTATAGGTGTTTTTCCTATGTAAAAAAGGTAAAGCTGTCACTGCAACAGGCCATGAAGGCCCATAGGAGTGTGAGAGGTCAAGGCTCCCACATCTTCTAGACAGTTGGCTCACAGATGTGTGGTAAGGTTGTCAGCCTTACCTGCCGGCTGCCCTTTAACCCCCAGGAAGATTCCTGGTACCCATTTCTGTTAGAGGCTGAGTTGACCCCAGGGCCATATTATGGCTGGAAGGATTATGTCAATTGAAAAAATTCAATGACCTCACTGGGAATTGAGCTTGTGACCTTCCAGCTTGTAGCATAGTTCCTCAACCAACTATGCTACTGCGTGCCTTTTCCCTGTGTATGAAAATAAATTTTATTGGTGGAGACCTTCTCAAGTTCTGTTCTTTCAAATATTATTCAGTGTATGCAGAGCCCTTAATGAATTATTTTTTTAGCATGGAAATATTACTTGATTGTAAGTTAACATAATGAATTGTACTGTAGAACTTCCATGTCAAATTGAAATTGAAATCTGTAATTTGGTGTGGGAAACTGAACATGCAAATGGAAAGACATAGAGACAGTAGTTCCCAGTTATGAAATCACTGCAAGCATTGAAATTAAAGATTGCATGGACATATGAAAAAAGAAATTATACTGCTAAATGTGGTACATGGTTGTGGTTATTGCAGGTGATGAAGATGGTGATGACACTGACTGCTAATGAAGCAGGTAGTGTTTTTTATGTAAAGAGGCCTGGTGCTGTGCTGGATGCTGGATCTCTCCTTGCACATCTAGAGCTTGATGATGCTTCACTTGTAACAAAGGCTCAAGAGTACAAGGGTCAGTTTCCTGAACTGGAAGTGTCTACACCTGTTGTCGGAGAAAAATTGAACCATGTTCATGCCAGTTATCGTGTCATGCTGGAGAATATTCTGTCAGGTGGGTTTATTTTCATTAAACTTGTTCATTGAGAGCTCCTTAATGATTGTAGGCCGAATAAAATGGATCATCTTGATATGTTGTATAATACTTATTTTTAATAAATTTCAGTTAAACCCTTGTATTATGAGCAAAGAAAATCCTTTTCTCAAGAAGGTACAGTACAATTTGTACAGCTCCATGTACCAAGAAATTAAAAGATTTTGGATCATCTGACATTTTTTGTTTTGAAGTTTTTACTGTATATGCTGTGTATATTACTGAATAAATTGAACATATGTAACATATTGTGACGTGGATGGCGCAATGATAAGTAGGGGTCACATGAACTCTGCCATCTCGCGAGTGATGTCACATACCCCCACCCCTTCCATTATTACACAATGCTCGGTAAACACTCGGTCGCCTCCCACGGTGACATAACAGCACTTCCCACAGTGACGTAACAGGGGACACCGCATTTACTACGCAACAATAAACAACTTTCGGCAGCGTTCCCCAGCAGTGCCTGTAAACACGATATTATGCTACAGTGGTAGCTGTCGTGTGACTGTTTTTTGTGTTGTCAGTGCAGAAGGTACTAGAGTAGTGAGTAGTGAGTATTGAGCCAGTTACTAGAGAGAGTAACCAGTCAGTTGTAGTCTAGCCTTCGCCGGAGTGAGTTGAAGCCCATTGTTATTGAGTTGTATCGAGTGAATGGAAATGACTACAGGAGAAGTATTTGTGATACTGCTGATGGCAGTAATTGTGAGATTGTGAAGTGTGTAATTGTAAGAGTGAGTGGAATACATTTGCCAGATCCAGAATGGTGTGAAGTTATTTGTCGTGTGACCTACCCAACACATGACAATATTGTAACGTGTTTAGCCACTGAAGACGCCGTAGAGATTGTTAATTGGTTTATTCAACAACCTACAAGTAATGGCTACAATTAATTATAACAATGTTGCGGGGTTTCACACCTTATAACCCTATTCGCAAATCAATTCACTCTGTCTTCAGTAGTCTACACGTATTCAGTACAGGAGCTATACAAGTGTCCCTGTATCACACACTCCCAATTATTACTCAGTTACACACACGTCCGATTCTTCTTTCCGCGATGGCTGCTATACTACAACTGTAGTCTGCTGACTGGAGAACTGTTGATCACACACTCACTGTCTCCAGGGACGGCTACACGTTCACTCGAGAGGTGTAACTAACTCGTAGGCTTGCTCGGAACTAACTCGGAACTGACTGTGAATAGTCTTCGCTGCTCCATATCTAGCCTCGTTCTGGACAACTCAGAAAAAGCCACATAATAGGCACCATTGTTGTGTCGTGCAGTGTTGCTAGCAACGCTGTCCGGAGTTGTTTACTGCTGCCTAGCAACCGCGGTATCCCTTGGTGATGTCACCGCTGTTGACTCGCGTTGCATAGCTACCAGGATGCTGGGACTCGGCTAACTTCGGCTCTGCTCGGCGCGTCACGGCTGGCGGGGGGGGGGGAGGGGCATCATATATAGCGCAACACGTCACAATATAATGCTGTATTTGGTGGAGTTATAAAATATTGTCACATGTTAGAGTGACTCTGGATGGGGTGTTGGATTGGAGACTGGATTTATTGATCCCTTACTACAAATAACTATACCAGTCTTACTGAATTACACACTCCAAATATCAGAGTAACTACAGTACACTTAAAGTTCTCTGCTTTCACTGGTTGTTTTCTGGTAATGGGTTTTAACACTGTCCTCTTATGTCCTTACTGTCTGGCACATATCCCACAGCTGAACTAAGTTCTAAACTTGTCCCATTTATAACCCCTTGGCATGGGCCATGTAGAAAACACTGTTCCCAACAGTTCCCCTGTTGTGTGTTGATTTGTTGTCATGGGAACCTGTTTGTTTGTTGTTGATACCTATTAATGGGTCTACATGCTACAATACGAACATAGCAATTGGTATTTATTGTCCATAAACTTTTCAGCTTTCTAATAAAGAAATATTAAGGGTCTTGTAATGAGTTCTAGGTCTGTGTGGAACTATGCTTTTATATGTCCTCTCTGTGCCTGTGAAGTTTTGTTTGCATATGAACTTCTCATTATATTGTCAGTGTATGAGTGTGACTATGGATGGGGTTTGGATTGGAGATTGGATTTATTGACCACTTTAACACACAACTCATGATTACACTCAATTTTAGTGCCATTGCTGAGCTCCACACTTTAAAAATCTCTACAGCACATGTTAAGCCTTTTCAGTCTCTTGAGTCTTCATCAGTCTTTCCCTGGTAATGGCTTCTATCTTTGGAGATTCTTTAGCTTCCATGCTCACTTCATTGCTTGCTGGCTCTCAACTGCACTGACTAAGCCTCTTAACACTCTTTTACAATTGAACTAAACTCTAAACTTGCCCCTTTGATAACCCTTTGACATGGACTGTGCAGAAAATGCTACCTCCAGCAGTTCTTCTATTGTTGCACTGGACTTGTTGCCATGGGAACATGTTTGTTTGCAATGACTGAGTATACTGTGTATATTTGCTCATTAAGAATCTGTTTTCTAGCAGCGGATGTTGTTTCAGCATTTGTTTCACAGTTGTTACCCAGTAATGGTTCTACATGCTACAGTATTGACATTGTGCCTGATGCCACTGCAGTAATATGACTTACTTGAATTTAGTGTAACCCCATTTGAATCTAGACCAGGGAATAGGCCACCCTGACTGAAGTTTTTCATTTTTTTCCTCAGCCCATCCATGTGAATTCTGGGATAGAACCATTCATATTCTTATGTTATCATCATCACTCATGAACATTTTCAGATCTCAGTCACATCGTTTATCGCTACATCAGTTAACCCTCTTGTATAGCTCATTGTAGTTGTAAAATGCCATGGTACACGAGACTTGTTCTTGGTTTAAAATCAAAAGTGATGACATAATTACAAAATCTTTCATAGATGGCAACACCAGTCCAAAGTCTAGGCACCATAGAAGCTCTGAACAAAGTACATTTTTACTGTAAATAATAAAATTCTTATACCCCTGCACCAAACGTTTTTCAAGCTGTAGGAATCATGCTGTCCATCTTAAATGCAGTTCTTTGGCTCACTACTATGCTCAAAGAGAAAGGCCTTAAAGTGTTAAAGAACCTGTACATCAGTTACTGATATAATATTATCAGTTGCTTCTTCTTAGGTTACTGCCTTCCAGATCCATACCACCAAGCTAGACTGCGGGAGGTCATTGAGAAATTTATGAGTTCTCTGCGGGATCCAAGCCTTCCTCTGTTAGAGTTACAGGTTAGTACACAATGTAGGTAATGTAAATATATTTGGATAGCTCACATTTATTTTGTGCTAATTTAATCATTTTAATGTTTTTTCCCCCCCCAGGAAGTTATTGCCTCTATATCTGGCCGCATTCCTGTGTCAGTGGAGAAGAAAATTAGAAAACTTATGGCATTGTATGAACGCAACATCACCTCTGTACTTGCGCAGTTCCNCATAGTGCAGCTGGAAGGATTAGGTAAATTGGAAAAATCCACCTCATCGGGATTCGATCCTGCGACCTTCCAGCTTGTAGCACAGTGCCTAAATCAACTACACTACCACATACCCCCTGTCATATATACAGGGTGTCCCAGGAGGAATGGACCAAACTTCGGGAGGGTGTTCCTTATGTTAAAGTATGCCGATATAACCCAAAACACCTATGTCCAAAGTTGAACGGTTACGGAGATAATGGCCCGAGAAAAGTGTGGTC